GTATCAATCAACTCCAAGTAAACAAAAACAATTAACACATGATAATAAACTAAAATGACAATAGTCAGTAGAGCCAACCATTACAATTTCTTACACATTGTTTCAAATTCGCCAATCGTCATATCGGCGCCCACAAAGTCGTCATAGATACGCTTCGTGTAGTGTTTGTTCTGCTTGAAAACACACAACAGGTTCACGTTGTTACGTATGACTTGCATATCAACCCTACCGTAACTCTGACTCAGATAGACGCACGACAAGTTCCTGTGTCTGCCCCTGATGAAATAGCTTTTTATAACATCTTGCTTTTCCATCAGACAGTCGTCGAACACAACAAGTGAGTTTTTCTTACACTCCTCCAAAGGGGGTAAATCTTCACAACTGCTGAAGAAATACACAATCTTCCTATTCAATGTCCGCTCTATATCCGTGTACTTTTGACGTAATTCCACATATGCCGCTTGTTCAATCGATTTGCTAAATATATATAAATTCCGAAACAGCACACCACTAGGGTTGTAAATCAGATTCAACAACAAGTTCGTCTTCCCACTACCTGAATTACCGTTAATTAAACAGCGAAGTGGCTGGGGTATGAGGTTTGTATCCGACGCCTCTTCGTGGTAACTAACAATATTCATCACTTATATAAACCCACTGTTGATGGCAACGGTAATTTTAAGATGTCTCCAATGTTTTGATTATTCGGTGTATTGGATATTCATAGCTTAATCGATTTTAATAAAAGGAATTTTTGTTTTTGTTATATTTTTTACAAATGTCAACATATCAAAATTATCATCCACAGTTGCTGTATTTCTATTGCATTTTTCGATGCCCTCATCTGTTAGTTGTTTAAGTGCTTGATCAATTACCAACTCACCATCATGGATGTACTCATTCATAGCAGATTTCGAATTCTAAAGGCGGCACACACCTTTTAGCTTTCTTCAAACGTCTGTTTTGAACATCAATAAATCTGTATATTCTTTTATTAGAATCTGTGTTTATACTTTTAAATAAACAAAACACTTGTTGTGTCCTATTTTTCATTATGTTTTTATACATTAGTTTTTTTTCTACATGTTCGATATTGCGTCGATGCCTCCTTAGACTGGGTAAAAGTTCTTCACGCCACCAACTTCTAAATTCTTTCATTCTCTTATTAGCATTTATCAAACACGAAACAGCACACTTGTTTATGTAAACAGTGTTGGGTCGTTTTCGTATAGCGGATTGTGTGTCATGCCTTTTCAGTTCTGAGTAAGTTTTTTATCCTCCCAATCAACACGTTCGTAAATACATTTTCCCGGTCTCGCATAGCCCAGTATGGTTGCAATAGAATTTCCTTCAAACCACGGTTTGTTAGCATGATCAAGTATAATTGAAATACTATGACCATTAAACACAAACTCATTATTCGCTATGTCGATTTTAGACATTATACTATATATACACGAGCACAAACAGTCCGTTTTTGTTAGAGAACAAACTTGTGTGAATGTGTTTTAATACATCATCTAAATGAATACCGGTACGCCAATTATAAACTAGGGCACCAGAGTTGAGATAGACTTATCTGTACAACTGATGACGCAGACCGGCCGTGCTTCTTATCTGGGTTCAACTCTCGCACTGCCGCAGATACGTATTGTCTTCTATATATACCGCAGTGTACCGTAGAACAGTGTACACACAACGGCAGTGTAAGTGTACACCGTAGAACGGTGTACACACAATGGCAGTGTGTGTGTGTAAGTGTTGTGTAACATTGTGTGACTAGCAAACTCAGTTGAGTGAAACCGAAAAACTCTCAACTGAGGAACCAAACAACTGTGTTGTAAGTATTCGAAAGTTTCAGTGTTTTAGGTGTCTGAAAGCTGAACTAGTTACACTGATATAAAACCAATATAAAGCATGCTGTTGAACTATCAATTGCAATAGTATCAGCAGAATGTACTGAGTGTGGTTTGAATATTGATCGTGAGTAAAAAAAATATTAAAATAGTAAACTTTTATTAAATATTTCATCATATACAATTTATTGTAGTAACTCCTAACTTCTTCAATTGTCGTTTGAGAAATATTCTTCAGTAGTTTTTGCAAAACCTGTTTTTATAATCTTCTACTGTTCTCAATCTGTTGTAAACACTACATCGTGCATTTTTCTAGTACCACTAAGCGATTTTGTGCCCTTGTATACAACAAATACGGGTTTATCAAATTGCATAAGTTTCTTTATATTGTCGGGTGTCAATCTTGTGTTCCAACTCTCAGGCAGTCGAATTTTCATATTGCCACATATAATTTGAATCTGATCACCATACTTGGAACTCACAATTTCTATATCCTCTACCAAATACTTTTTATCAATCTCCAAGTCAGCAACACTTATATAACGGCTTCTGTTTATTTTATCTAAGAAGTCCGAGAAGTCGATATCATTAGAGTTCTCCATGACCGTCTGCCTATATATATTCACATACTTTTACGACAAACAAAAAATTTGCAACATCTGTCGCCGAGTATTATAAACGGTTTTATAAAACCGAGGTCGCAATAAAAAAAATAAACACGATTGCATCTTATGAATAAATTATACTCGTACAAAATCTAAATACACAATACTGTTCGAATCAGGATTGTGCAATAATGAACCATTTTGATCAAACAGTCCGATTTGAATTTGTTGAATTTGATTTAACCCGTCTTTTAATGGTACATAGTGGGGGTATTGAGGGGTTTCAGAAATTTTATAGCCGTGTTGTGCTTTTGGAAAGAATTGGTACAATATCGACGATTCGTCATGTCTGCGATAATGTGTAGAATGGCTCGTATAACTGCTGTTTACAATATTACAATGGATTTCGATAACATCCACAGGCCGCAAATTTGGCGCAGTATCAGCTTTATAGTGATTAGATAACTCTGAATCTTTGTCCTCATTAAACCCCAACAAAAAGCGCATTGTGTTATCCATTTGAAACTTTAGTGGTGATTTTATAACGACACGATTACCTTCTTTAAGTATTTCAAACTGATTTATATCCACAGTAAAACTGGCTTTTTCCAAAAACCCTCGTATGTGCTTCTGTAGCGATTCCATTGTCCAATGTCCACTGTTAATCACCAGAGGTGTAAGTATGTTTTCAAAAGTCATACTAGCAGTTTGCACTAAATTATAAATGTTGTTTTCAGAATAAAAACCAATCAACGCTATCTGGTACTTTGAACTCTCACCCAAATACATCGGGTGCTCCAAATGGATATTTAACAACGATGTATTTCCCGTCAGTTTTAAAATTGTCATATCTAATAAATATATGGTGCAAAGAAAAAATATATTCTTAATTGTTTTTGGGTAAACTGTCATATAAATCATTAATGTTTTCTCTTGCGTTTTCTTTTAGTGTTTTATAACGGGTTTCCAACTCTAGGATTTTATTCACAAGTTCGTCCAATTGTAGTTTTACCACAACATCGTTTGCTTCAATGGCCTTACCAACGCCGCTTATTCTCTTATGGTTTTGAATCTCGAGCACATCCACAGTATTAGTTGTGGTAGACTTTTTCGGCACAATGTGTTTTGTTGTTTTGATCGCGTTTTTAATGAGTTTTTCCAACTCTAAAAGGTCTTCCTTAATTGCAACATCGTTTTTGTCTATGGGTTTAGCGGTGTTAACAATGCGTCTCCCTTTAACACTCAAATAGTTGCCCGATATACTAATGCTATTCACCAAAGAATCGGTTGTTTTTAGATGCCCCATTAGCTTATCCTCTATTTGTTTGAACATTGTTTTAGCTCCGCTGTTGAATCCATTCTGTAAGTTTCGTATCTTTTCATCAACTAGAGATTCACTAACACCATCTGAAATACTCTGGGGTAGTTCGTTAAATCTGTTTATCGAAAGATAATCCATGTCTAAATATATACATTAAAAGGTTTGTTTTACTAAAATAAAAAAAAATAAAAATACTTTATTATAAAATTATAGAAACCAACATAACCATACATATTTGTTATTATTCAGAACCTGTTCGATTTCATTCCAACTCGCACCATTTGAAAATCTCCTTAAAACCTCCAAACACAGATGACCACATATTGGCGGATCGTCATATTCCTGGTATCTATTCATATTGTATAATATACCATCGTCCATGTTCACATATTCTTTCAATTCCAACAACGGTGGTGCGTCTCCAAATGAGTCGAAATATGTAACTCGGTTGCCTGTTTTCATATAACAAGTCCAGTGTGTACCACCCGAATCTAAATTGCCTAGATTTATAATTCCACATTCGTTTTCACGCGGTTTGTTTGGTAAGGCTTCCCTCATAAAAACACCACGAAAGTTTCTTATTCGTAAAACATTAGCCCAACACTCCAAGTCAGATATTGTTAGTGGGCTTATTTTTTTTTTGCACCACTCAAGACCCTGTTCAGTTCTCTGTTTATATGTCTAGTCAAACCGGCACCACTTGCATCTTGATCTATCAGAGTATCCAACTCACTATCAATTAATTTCTTAAGCCATGGCACAAACTGATCTTTCAACAGTGGCGCGACTTTGCCTTTTATCAGTGGTGATGCAACTTTCTTAAAATATGGAATATTGTTTTCAGCCAGCTCCAATACTTCCCGCAATAAACCGCCATCAATCATCTCCTTCAGTTGACCATAATCGAAAATCAACCTCACTCCAGTGTTGTTTTTTATGGCTCTTTCCACCTGCTTATGTTGGTCACTATCAAGCGATACTTCAACATTACCGTTTTTCAACTGTTCCTTGGAGAGATATAGTATAGCACGTTTGAGCTTTTTGTGAGCAATTCGCAATTTGTTTAGTTGATTCTTCGTCAGGTTTATCTTACGTTTATGCCACATTGTTATTGTGCTATATACACACTTTACCAATTCTCAATCGTTTACTTAATTAAGACTCGATTGCGCATTTAAAGTCTATATTACAAGCACATCTATATTTCGATATATAGCAATGGAGTTGTACTGTCGCATGTGCAAAATAAACACGGCGTCTGAAAACATAAAGACCACAAAAACTAGAAATAAAAGATGGTTGTCTACATCAAAATGTGCAGTTTGCGGCAGCGTGAAACACTCGTTTATAAAGGAGCCATATGAGGTTTTAGAGGCCAAGGAGTTGCACAGGCCGGTTATTAAAAAGTTCATTAAACGCCGAATAGTCACCAAGGGTATCGACGATTTGTGGGCTGCAGATTTACTAATAATGAAGCAGTACGCTAGGGAGAACAAGTGGTACAAGTACATTTTAAATGTCATAGATACATTTAGGAAATTCGTTTGGTCCGAACCTTTAAAGAAAAAAGACGGGGCAGAGTTGACAACGGCTTTCGAGAAGATTATAAAAAGAGCAAACAGTGATGGTCATGAAGCACCGAAGCTTTTACATACCGACAAAGGTACAGAGTTTAAAAACAAACCGTTCAACAACATGTTGAGGAGGCACAATATCAAACTATACCATACAGAGAGTGAAGAGAAGTCCGCAATAATTGAAAGATATCATAGGACATTGAATGAGAAACTTAAAGTGAAATTCCAAGTCCGACAATCCCACAAGTGGTACGATATACTACAAGAAAACACAGACGAGTATACCAACACGATTATCACCACACTATTAAAATGAGACCAGTAGAGGTCAACAAAGATAACGAGGCTGATCTATTAAAAATGTACATTGAGCGCGAACACAAAATTCATAAAAACAGCAAGTTCAACCTCGGTGATAGAGTTCGTATCACGACGAAAAAAGACGTGTTTGCGAATAAATATAAACAAAACTGGACTTCGGAGATATTTACAATAGCACGAATTCTAAACACTAGACCGGTTACTTATAGGATCGCCGATCAAAATGGCGAAGAAATTATAGGCGGATTCTATGAAAAAGAACTGCAGAAGACTGCTCTCTGAATTTCTGAGGGTGCCTCGAGTCTTAGTCCAGACATTCAAGTCCAAAGACTGAACCCGCTCTGGGGGGCTATTCAAGTCCAAGGAATGAGCCAGCTCTAGAAGGTTATTCAAGTCCAAAGACTGAACCCGCTCTGGGGGGCTATTCAAGTCCAAGGAATAAACCAGCTCTAGAAGGTTATTCAAGTCCAAAGACTGAACCCGCTCTGGGGGGGGGGCTATTCAAGTCCAAGGAATGAACCCGCTCTGGGGGGATGTACCCGCTCTGGGGGCTCTCATCCTCATCCTGCGCTAGAACCGGTGAATACATAACTACTTGAATCAATGTCACATACTAGGGATTACTCCGGCGTCGACGTTGACCCAAAATAGAACTTTGCTATCCGATTTTTTGTGCAAGCTCCAATTGAATGGTGGGTCCGAGCCTATGCCCGACAACCTCCGACCGGACCTCACCAAGGTCCTCGAACCCTCTGGCACACACACTAGGACCAGCCAGGATCTCATGGATGATACCGCCGAGCCCCTTGTCCCTGCACAAACCGCACAAGCCTTTTTAGACACAAATACCATCCACACTACGTCTCAGCAGCATCCGCATTTGCCATTCCTTCCAGGAGTCGCGCCCTCCAATAACACGAGCGCGAAGGAAGAACCCAACCAGGCACCTACAGATTGGACCCATTTGGTTCAAGCCACCGCCATGGCCGTGGGCCAGCAGATCGCGACCGCCATGTCAGGCACCCACTCCCCCTCCCAGGCAGGCAGAAATAGGTTGAAAGTTGTCGACGACCTCGTCAGAGATTTGCCAGTCGCCACCGGGGCGGAGCCAAGAAAGCTTGTAGAATTTCTTGTAGCGGCCATCAAAATAGACAAGCTAGGATTGTGCGCGGATGAGGATCTGTTGATGGCTATTCTCCCTCGCACGGCGGATCAAATGAGAGTATTTTGGTTGAAGGGCATTTCTGATCGCGCGAAGCTGGGACAGGTCATTGAAAATGTTAGAGATTTTTTTCTCCCGGGTCAGGTCAGGCACACAATAATTTCTAGCACGGTTTACAGAATACAGAGGCCGTCTGAGTCCCTCCCAGAGTTCGTCGAGAGTATTTCTGGGACGTCAGCGTTTTTGATTCCCCATTTTTCCCAGCAGCACGTCCTGGACACAGTTTTAAATGGTCTAAATGGACCAACGCGAGCAGCTTTGGCGGCTTTCCCCGCGGCACGCTCCTTGACAGATCTTCTTGCTCTGGCCCCTAGGGTTCAAATGGTGCGCGCGCTGGAGGGTGAACGCACCGTGTCGCGGCCAGACAGTCAGCGCAGCACGGAAAATTACCGACCGCAGTCACACCATCCAACATTTTCTTCGTCACGTAGCCCCGGCTACCGACAAGGCGCTCCAAGCCATCGTCAAAATTTCGCGGGACCGGCGAACAGACCATACATTCCTAGGTATCCCTTCAACGATTTCCGAGCACAACCGCCTGGAAACAATCAATCGCCGCCATCTCACAACACCAATCCAAATCGACAATTCAATTCTTCCATGATAGGGCAGGGAAACGACAAAGGGGGGCACCGTTAGGCGTCTCAGCGCTCCCCGTTGTTCAAACCGTAACACCGACGCCAAACAGTCAAACCTTAAGAAACAAGCCAAAGGGTTCACCAACCGTACCTAAAACCGAATTATGCCATGTGACCTTGAATTTTCAGGGCATATTTAAGGACGCACTAATCGACACAGGATCATCTTTCAGTTTGCTATCATTTGATTTTTACAAGCTTTTAAAGCGACACACAAGGGCCGTGGTCAAAAAAGAACCAACAAACTACACTGCGCTTTCAGCCACCGGCGAACCCATGGATTTCCAATTTCTAGTCAAATTGCATTTCAAAATCCAGCAGCTTTCCTGGAATTTCCCATTTTTAGTCACCCGCAAATTGCCTGTTCCCCTTTTGCTAGGATCGGATTTTTTGACCAAAACCAGAGCAGTCATAAACATGTCCAACCACACAGTTACCTTTCCTTACGGTTCGCCGAAAGCACTCCCACTCATTTTTACATCCATTTCCGAAGAGCAGAACAACCCGGTTGCCATGGGGGAGAACTTGACTCAAGCACAGAGACAATCAGTTACCAAATTACTTTCACAGTTCCCCGAAACAATCACCACCAGTTTAGGGCGCACAAATCTGTTGAAGTACCACATTAGGGTAAAAGAGAATAAGATAGTACGCAACAAGCCTTACCAGTACGCCCCTCCCAAACTTCTTTTGATGAGGCAGCATATCGACGAATTGTTACAGAAGGGGGTAATCAGACCGTCAACATCCCCGTACGCCTCGGCGGCGTTTTTGGTACCCAAGAAGGGGGACAAAACCCGCATGGTCGTTGACTATAGGAATCTTAATGCTATTTTAGAATTGGATGCAACACCCATGCCGACGATCGAAAGTGCCTTCCAGCACCTAGGGCAAGCGCGCTGGTTTACTCTCCTCGATTTGAACTCGGCTTACAATCAGATACCCCTGGCCGAGGAGTCTAAGCCCTACACGTCCTTTGTTGTACCTTGGGCACAGTATGAGTTCATCTATCTACCTTTTGGACTCGCTTCGGGAAGCATGGTGCTCACCTCATTAATTGACAGAATTTTTGGAGACATCAAATTTAATTACATATATAATTTTTTCGATGATCTATGTGTGTACAGTGACTCTACCTTTGAGGATCACCTGCAAAAGGTTGGGTTAGTTATTCAAAGACTTCGTGACGCCGGACTCACTGTCAATCCCCAAAAAATTACAGTTGCAGCCAATAAAATTCAGTTTCTCGGACACGTATTCAGTAACCACACCATTTCCATACATCCTGATAGAACAAAGCCAATTGACGAGTACCCCACCCCCAAAAATGTCAAGCAATTATCCCGTTTTTTGGGCATGACGGCGTTCTACGCACGTTTCATTAAAAATTACGCGACCATCACCATTCCTCTAAATCATTTGAAGAAGAAGGGAGTTCCCTTTGTTTTCGGCCCCGATCAGGTTCAAGCTTTCGAGACCCTCAAGAGAGCTTTAGTCTCTTCATCGATACTGCGTATGCCAGATTTCACAAGGGATTTTGTTGTTCACACCGACGCTAGCGGCTCAGCCATTGGGGCCGTACTGATGAAAACCCACGGAGACCAGTTGTTTCCAGTCTCGTACGCATCTAGGGCTTTAAACAAGCATGAATTAAATTATTCCACCTTGCAACTCGAATGCCTTGCAATAGTTTTTGCATTGCAAAAATATCAACAGTACCTGGAACACAGAGAGTTTGAGCTTCACTCAGACTGCTCAGCCCTCACCTGGCTTCTCAACCACCCGCGACAGATGGGTAAGATTGCCCGTTTGGTCTCTTTCATAAATTCATTCAAGTTCAAGATCTACCATATCCGCGGAAGGGACAATGTCATCGCCGATGCCCTTTCTCGCCTATATGAAAACTCCGAACCAACTGAAATTTCACCCCCCACTCCTCAACCATCCACATTATCCCTTTTCGCTCTCCCCGAGGTTTTCAAAGACATAGCCGACCATCAACTCGATGATCATGACCTCAGGAAGATCATCAGGTCCACCAACAAACCCCAAAATTATTCAGTCGAGAACAATATCCTTCTTCACCGTCAACCAAATCAAACTAAACCAAGGGTAGTGGTTCCATCCAAGCTTCTTGACCTCATTTTCAAATACTACCATGAATCTCCCACATCAGCTCATTTGGGCATAAACAAAACCTTGTCTCGCATCGAGCCCTTTTTCTGGTCCCCCGACCTCAAGGCTTACGTCACTAACAGGGTAAGAGCTTGCGTTAGCTGTCAGAGGTGCAAACAAGCCCCCAACACCAAGGTCGGAAGACTCGCTTCTGAAATCGTTACCAAACCTTGGGAAAAAATTTTCATTGACCACATTGGACCCCTTCCATTGTCCGCCAACCGCAATAGATACATTCTAACCATTGTAGACTCTTTTTCAAAATTTTGCTTCATGATCCCAGTTAGGAACACCAGGGCGGAAACAACTATCACGGTGCTCAACAGACAAGTTTTTGCAATATTTGGCCCACCCAAATTTTTGGTTTCTGATAATGTTTCACATTTCAAGTCTGTTACCGTCAAGAACCTCTGTATGGGTCTGGGTATCCAACACATATACACCAGCCCATACTATCCCAACCCCTCGCACGCCGAGAGGGTAAACAAACAGATCAAAATTGCCATCCGAATTTTCCACCACCAACATCAAAGGCTATGGGACCAGGAACTCCACTGGTTCCAAATAGCTTTCAATTCAGCCATTCATGAATCCACCAAGACTTCCCCTGCCCGTTTATTCCTAGGTAGACACCTACATCATCCCTTAGAACTTCATTGGAACCTAGACAAATTAGTCGACGAGCAATGCACCCCACAATCCTCCCACGACGAGTGGAGTAGGGCCGTCGAAAACCTATCAAAAGCTAGACAGCAGAGACAACAGAAATACGACTTAAACAGACTGCCCAACCCTTATAAATCTGGGGATTGGGTAATGTTTAAGGAACACCACATCAGTAGGGCCGCCAATGCAATCAATAGTAAGCTTTTGCCAGTCTGGTCCAAACCTTGTGTAATAGAGTCCTTTTCATCACCAGTGACAGCACGATTACTAAATCCCACAACAGGTAAATTTATC